GAATTCAACGGTGACCTTCAATTTGACCTTGAGCTTGACCTTCAAGGTTATTTGAAGGTCAAAGTGTTTTTTTTAAATAGGAACCCCTATTTTTGATTGTATATTCTTATAGCTGACCTCGAGAGCTTTCCAAAACACTATAATAAAATATTTTTTCCTCAAGCATTTATCGAGTTATGATGCTTCAAATCATTTCTTAATTTTACATAAACCGTAAAATATCTTGTAAAATATTCACTTTTCGATTATTTTACCTTAATACTTTTATGTACAAAATAATGAGAGGAATCAATTGGCGTAAAGAAAACATATAGTTGTTTTTAAGAAAAAATATGGAATTGTTAATTGCAAATTACATATTTTTTCTTAAAAACAACTATATGTTTTCTTTACGCCAATTGATTCCTCTCATTATTTTGTACATAAAAGTATTAAGGTAAAATAATCGAAAAGTGAATATTTTACAAGATATTTTACGGTTTATGTAAAATTAAGAAATGATTTGAAGCATCATAATTCGATAAATGCTTGGGGGAAAAATATTTTATTATAGTGTTTTGGAAAGCTCTCGAGGTCAGCTATAAGAATATACAATCAAAAATAGGGGTTCCTATTTAAAAAAAACACTTTGACCTTCAAATAACCTTGAAGGTCAAGCTCAAGGTCAAATTGAAGGTCACCGTTGAATTCCTCCTTGAAAATTACTTCAGAAATGACCTTGACCTTTTTCAAAAATACCTTACATGAGAAAATATTCAGCCGTCCCGGGACTTAATTGACACCCTGTATATATATATATATATATATACCGGGTGTTTCAGACCACCCGTACACCCCATTTTAAAGCAAAGGAAGTGGTTATTTTGAAAAATGTTTCAGACAAAAGTTGTTGAAGATGAAGTAATGCATTACATGGGTAAATTTGATTGACCTTGGGTGGCGTCGTGAAGGTCATGTCAAGGTCGACTTGAATTTTTTAAATGGGAACCCATATTTTTCATTGCATATTCTTGTAACTGACATCAAGACGTTTTCAAAACACTGGTTACAAAGTCTTTTTAGTTGAAATCTTCCTGAATTATAAGACTTCAAAATTTCAATACCGCCGGCGTCAGCATTACCTACGATGTACCGCGTGGAGGTCGCACGGATATCGAATTTACATCTCTTCGGGGTGCTTGATTAAACTGAGTCCCCTTGCCTCTCACGTGTGTATGTACTATGTGCAGCGCGCAGTCAAAGAGAAGGACCCCGGGGTTCGTCAGTCCCCCAATATCTTACAACTCTAAACCCTCTCTGCTGTGTATTTTCAAGTGAGATAGTGTTCAAACTGAGCACCGTTATTTGCGATGCAAGCATCTACTCTGGTTTGGAAGGAATTGGTTGCTCGAAGAATTTCATCAGCATTTAAGAATTGAATTGCTTCTCTTATCCTACGAATCATGTCGTCCCTTGTAGTTGGGCGTTCACGATACACCAAGTCTTTTACCCTTCCCCACAAATAATAATCCAGGATAGTGAAGTCTGGCGAGCGGGGTGGATAATTGATCGGACCATATTTGCCTATCCACCTATTGGGAAACATAGTATTTAGTACTGCACGGGCAATTCTTGATGTATGTGACGGGCATCCATCTTGTTGGAACCACATATCCAGGCGCAATCGCAGAGGTAGATTTTCTAATAAGACAGGAAGTTCTGTCTCTATCAAGGCTGAATATCTAACAGCGTTTAAATTTTCTTCAAAGAAAATAGGACCTATGATCTGGCTTCCAATAATGCCGCACCAAACATTCACCTTCCAAATATGCTGATGATCTATTTCTCTCAACCAGTGAGGATTAACTTGCGACCAATAACGACAGTTCCACGTATTGACACTTCCATCACATTTGAATGTAGATTCATCAGAAAATAAAATTTTGTGATGAAAATTAGGTGGTTGTTGTCTTATCCAGTTGCAAAATGCAAGTCTATTTTGACAATCATCATAATTTACAGCTTGGTGAAGAGACATTCGATAAGGGTGAAACTTGTTTTGACTCAAAATGCGCCAGATACTGGTAAGACTAACTCCAGAATCTATTTCTCGGCGTCTCAAGGAATCATGAGGATTCAATTCTGTTGATGCAAGAATTTCCGCTGCTCTTTCATTCCTAATTGGACGGCGGATCTGTCGATTTTTGTTATGTTGAGGCTGAACGACACCTTCGGTCCTGACTCGGTTAGCTAAACGTGAAAAAACGTTACGCGAGTGAGGAGTCCGATCAGGAAATCGCTCTTGCCACAATCTTTCTGCTGCAGCGAATGTACCTCGACACTCACCCAAAATTAGCAACATATCATATGCTTCTCCATTCGAATAGGACATGGCTATGACGATATGAATTAACCCGAATTAAATTATTCCGAGAGCAGGAATAGCGCGAGATTCGACCCTGGGTCGGGAAGACGACGACGGAATCGTCAGAGCGAAAGCGACTAACAAAAACTATAAAACAAATGATGATAATTCCGAATCGTAAAACTTTTCTTTCACAAACCTGGGGCATCTGCTACGACGTAATTGCTACTTCGAAGTTTACCGATCCTTCTTTTGTTTTATAAGTACTTAGGTTTTGTTAGTTCTGCCGATCCTTCGTCCCGCAAACACGTCGTCGTCTTCCCGACCCAGGGTCGAATCTCGCGCTATTCCTGCTCTCGGAATAATTTAATTCGGGTTAATTCATATCGTCATAGCCATGTCCTATTCGAATGAAGAAGCATATGATATGTTGCTAATTTTGGGTGAGTGTCGAGGTACATTCGCTGCAGCAGAAAGATTGTGGCAAGAGCGATTTCCTGATCGGACTCCTCACTCGCGTAACGTTTTTTCACGTTTAGCTAACCGAGTCAGGACCGAAGGTGTCGTTCAGCCTCAACATAACAAAAATCGACAGATCCGCCGTCCAATTAGGAATGAAAGAGCAGCGGAAATTCTTGCATCAACAGAATTGAATCCTCATGATTCCTTGAGACGCCGAGAAATAGATTCTGGAGTTAGTCTTACCAGTATCTGGCGCATTTTGAGTCAAAACAAGTTTCACCCTTATCGAATGTCTCTTCACCAAGCTGTAAATTATGATGATTGTCAAAATAGACTTGCATTTTGCAACTGGATAAGACAACAACCACCTAATTTTCATCACAAAATTTTATTTTCTGATGAATCTACATTCAAATGTGATGGAAGTGTCAATACGTGGAACTGTCGTTATTGGTCGCAAGTTAATCCTCACTGGTTGAGAGAAATAGATCATCAGCATATTTGGAAGGTGAATGTTTGGTGCGGCATTATTGGAAGCCAGATCATAGGTCCTATTTTCTTTGAAGAAAATTTAAACGCTGTTAGATATTCAGCCTTGATAGAGACAGAACTTCCTGTCTTATTAGAAAATCTACCTCTGCGATTGCGCCTGGATATGTGGTTCCAACAAGATGGATGCCCGTCACATACATCAAGAATTGCCCGTGCAGTACTAAATACTATGTTTCCCAATAGGTGGATAGGCAAATATGGTCCGATCAATTATCCACCCCGCTCGCCAGACTTCACTATCCTGGATTATTATTTGTGGGGAAGGGTAAAAGACTTGGTGTATCGTGAACGCCCAACTACAAGGGACGACATGATTCGTAGGATAAGAGAAGCAATTCAATTCTTAAATGCTGATGAAATTCTTCGAGCAACCAATTCCTTCCAAACCAGAGTAGATGCTTGCATCGCAAATAACGGTGCTCAGTTTGAACACTATCTCACTTGAAAATACACAGCAGAGAGGGTTTAGAGTTGTAAGATATTGGGGGACTGACGAACCCCGGGGTCCTTCTCTTTGACTGCGCGCTGCACATAGTACATACACACGTGAGAGGCAAGGGGACTCAGTTTAATCAAGCACCCCGAAGAGATGTAAATTCGATATCCGTGCGACCTCCACGCGGTACATCGTAGGTAATGCTGACGCCGGCGGTATTGAAATTTTGAAGTCTTATAATTCAGGAAGATTTCAACTAAAAAGACTTTGTAACCAGTGTTTTGAAAACGTCTTGATGTCAGTTACAAGAATATGCAATGAAAAATATGGGTTCCCATTTAAAAAATTCAAGTCGACCTTGACATGACCTTCACGACGCCACCCAAGGTCAATCAAATTTACCCATGTAATGCATTACTTCATCTTCAACAACTTTTGTCTGAAACATTTTTCAAAATAACCACTTCCTTTGCTTTAAAATGGGGTGTACGGGTGGTCTGAAACACCCGGTATATATACAGGGTGTCCGAAATGTGTGGGAACACCTAAATATTTCGGAAAATAAGCATAATAGAGAAAAATGTTTCAAACAAAAGTTGTAGGGTTTACAAAGATCTATTTACTAATTTTATCAGTCTGACCTTGAGTGGCGTCCCTAAGGTCAGGTCAAGGTCACGTCGATTTTTGCAAACGGAACACCCTATTTATGATACCAGAATTTGATAGCTGGTATCAAGAGCTTTTCAAAACACTATAATAAAGTAAGTTTTCATTAAGTATTTTTCGAGTTTCGGAGCTTGAAAGTTACAGTACTGCCGCGCCGGCGTCGGCATTAGCATTACCCAAGGTGTACCACGTACCGGAGGTTCTCCGGTCGGATTTAAACTTCGCGTGCGTGTGTGCGTGCGTGCGTGTGCGTGTGCGTGTGCGTGTAGGGGGTGGAGTGAGTAGTTAGAGCAAGTGTTCAAATTGTCGTCCATCAACAGTCTGACAATGCGCCAATCTACTGTAAAAACTTGAAATAGCGTTCTCACAAAAATGAGGAGGTATTAGAGTTACCTCGTCATTTATACGGCGACGGAGTTCGTCCAAATTTCTAGGTTTCGTAGTATAGACTCTACTTTTGAGATGACCCCAAAAGAAATAATCCAGAGGTGAAAGATCTGGAGATCGAGGTGGCCATTCTATTGATCCTCTCCTGCCTATTCATTTGTTCGGGAATACTTCATTTAAGTATTCTCGTACACCTCGACCATAATGGGCAGGTGCTCCGTCCTGCTGAAACCAGATTTCATTAAAATTGTCACCAACACGTTGTATTGCTGGTACAATATCGCGTTCAAGCATTGTTCTGTATTTTTCAGCAGTCAAATTACCGTCAATGAAGAAAGGACCAATCACCCTCTCAGCAAGAAGTCCAGTCCATACATTCAATTTTTCCGGATGTTGCGTGTGAGCTTCAATCATCCAATGAGGATTTTCATCTGACCAAAATCTGCAATTATGACGATTGATATTGCCATTCAGCTCAAATGTCGCTTCATCAGAAAAGACTATTTTGGTCGCAAATTCAGGATCCATGTCAATTCTTTGCATGACATCCTCACAAAATTCTACACGACGATCGAAATCGTCTTCAGATAATTCCTGAACTGGATGAATCTTGTAAGGATGAAATTCATTCTTTTTTAAGATTTTATGCACAGACATTCGGGAGATGTCGTGGTGTTGCGCAGATTTTCGAATAGATATATGCGGATTCTCAATATACGATTGTAAGACATCTAAAGACTTTTCTGCATTTGTTGCAGAAACCGATCTACCAGACTTTGATCGATTTTTGACATGACCAGTTTCTTCGAATCGTGCGATTGTGCGGTGTACCGTCGATTTTGATATAGGGACTTTACCAATCCGAAAAGTGTCATTAAATATCGTGCAACGTTTCATTATAAGATCTGCGACGATCACCCCACCCTCGCATCATCAGTAACGTTATGCGTTCGTGATCCGTAAGTTCCGACATAACAAAATCGTATTGGATACGAGAAGTTAGAAGTTGTAAGTGCTTAAATTGCCGTCCGTCAACAGACTGGCAATGCTAATCTATTGTAAAAACTTGAAATGACGTTCTCACAAGAATGTAACTTACGTCTTACGTATTCTAATATAACCGATAATAGTAGCTTGCAACCACTGTAATTGTAGAATGGGCTTAAATAGCAACTCCCTATAAGTGATCCAATACGATTTTGTTATGTCGGAACTTACGGATCACGAACGCATAACGTTACTGATGATGCAAGGGTGGGGTGATCATCGCAGATCTTATAATGAAACGTTGCAGATATTTAATGACTTTTCGGATTGGTAAAGTCCCTATATCAAAATCGACGGTACACCGCACAATCGCACGATTCGAAGAAACTGGTCATGTCAAAAATCGATCAAAGTCTGGTAGATCGGTTTCTGCAACAAATGCAGAAAAGTCTTTAGATGTCTTACAATCGTATATTGAGAATCCGCATATATCTATTCGAAAATCTGCGCAACACCACGACATCTCCCGAATGTCTGTGCATAAAATCTTAAAAAAGAATGAATTTCATCCTTACAAGATTCATTCAGTTCAGGAATTATCTGAAGACGATTTCGATCGTCGTGTAGAATTTTGTGAGGATGTCATGCAAAGAATTGACATGGATCCTGAATTTGCGACCAAAATAGTCTTTTCTGATGAAGCGACATTTGAGCTGAATGGCAATATCAATCGTCATAATTGCAGATTTTGGTCAGATGAAAATCCTCATTGGATGATTGAAGCTCACACGCAACATCCGGAAAAATTGAATGTATGGACTGAACTTCTTGCTGACAGGGTGATTGGTCCTTTCTTCATTGACGGTAATTTGACTGCTGAAAAATACAGAACAATGCTTGAACGCGATATTGTACCAGCAATACAACGTGTTGGTGACAATTTTAATGAAATCTGGTTTCAGCAGGACGGAGCACCTGCCGATTATGGTCGAGGTGTACGAGAATACTTAAATGAAGTATTCCCGAACAAATGAATAGGCAGGAGAGGATCAATAGAATGGCCACCTCGATCTCCAGATCTTTCACCTCTGGATTATTTCTTTTGGGGTCATCTCAAAAGTAGAGTCTATACTACGAAACCTAGAAATTTGGACGAACTCCGTCGCCGTATAAATGACGAGGTAACTCTAATACCTCCTCATTTTTGTGAGAACGCTATTTCAAGTTTTTACAGTAGATTGGCGCATTGTCAGACTGTTGATGGACGGCAATTTGAACACTTGCTCTAACTACTCACTCACCCCCTACACGCACACGCACACGCACACGCACGCACGCACACACGCACGCGAAGTTTAAATCCGACCGGAGAACCTCCACGTGGTACACCTTGGGTAATGCTAATGCCGACGCCGGCGCGGCAGTACTGTAACTTTCAAGCTCCGAAACTCGAAAAATACTTAATGAAAACTTACTTTATTATAATGTTTTGAAAAGCTCTTGATACCAGCTATCAAATTCTGGTATCATAAATAGGGTGTTCCGTTTGCAAAAATCGACGTGACCTTGACCTGACCTTAGGAACGCCACTCAAGGTCAGACTGATAAAATTAGTAAATAGATCTTTGTAAACCCTACAACTTTTGTTTAAAACATTTTTCTCTATTATGCTTATTTTCCGAAATATTTAGGTTTTATTAAGTTACACGAGATGTACACCGTGCGCGAGTCGAAGGTCGCGCTCAGTCCGTACGACGATAAGCGCTACGTCGTGCCGGATTCGACCGACACTCTGCCGTGGGGGCACTACAGGATACCTCTGTGAAGAGAGGCGCGGATAGATCTTAAGCGCTATGCGACGTATTTTTACAGATATGCGTAATGTATTTTATTATCTTTAACGTTATACAATATATATGTTCGTTGCGACGCGTTACAATACGCGCGATGTATTTTCTTATCTTTAATATTACAAATATATATATTCGTTGCGACGCGTTACAATACGCGCGATGTATCTTTTCGTCTGTAATATCGCGCGAAAATATACGTATGTTCGTCACAATATGTCGGCTTTGTCTATCCACGAATTATGCGACCTGTCCATTCCCAGCCACTTCACGAGAACCGCGTCGCCCTTCCGGCGCAGCACTCTCTCCACGAGATACACGTCGGGATCGGAGACTCGCTGCAACTCGTGCTCGTAGAATCCTCCGGCTATCGGTTAGCCGCGCGAATCCTTCAGCAGATACGTCGCGGGATTCGTCCTTCGCACCTCGGCTACGCGGAAGATCTCCGCGGTCCAATTCGACGTGTATTCCTTCTCGAACAGCGTCTTGTACTTGCTCACGCGCACGGGATCGTTCGGTCGAAATTTTCCCGGAGCGGCGATCTTCGGGTGGCTGTACACCGTCGACAGGAGTCTCGATGCTCGAGTGGGCGTCACGTCGATCGGACGCATCCCGATGGTTCGATGCTTGCGAGCGTTGTAATCGGATATTAGATGCGGCAGCACGTCGAGCCACTTGTACGTTCCGTTCAGCGGATTTTCGTCGATCGATTGTGGGAGAGATTGCTTATACATCTGAAGGACGATCCGTACGTGCAGCGTTATCGCCTCTGTCACAAGCATCACAATCAGCCGTGGCAAGACACGCACATCGACGGTCCGCCGCCGTGCATCAAAGACTGCGGCATGTGCCGAGAGAACGAAATGGCGTGGCTATGAGCGCGTCGACGATCGAGACGTATGAGATACGCCGAGGACGCCGCGACGGCAGTCGTCGGCGGTAGAACTATAAACGCTCTTCCGTTCGAACTACATATACCGGGATATCAGTTCTGCGGTCCCGGTACTCGTCTCATGAAGCGGCTCGCGCGAGGCGATCGAGGCGTCAATCCGCTGGACGCGGCTTGCCGCGAGCACTACGTCGCCTATTTGCGGAGCGACGATCTCGCCGATCGGCACGTCGCGGATCGGGCGCTCGGAGCGAGAGCGTTGGAGCATAACCGGGCCGGGGATTCGACCCTCGGCGAGAGAGTGGCGGCGTCGGCCGTATGGGCGGCTATGAAGGCGAAGACGAAACTAGGAATGGGTATGGCTGGAGCGCGAAGAGGCGTGAGAAAGAGCGGCGGCGGCGGCGGCGGCAAGAGAAAAACGACCTCGACGAGGAGGAGGACGACGAGAGGACGGGTTCTTCCCGCGGCGAAACGCGACGGCTTCCTGCCGCTGTTGCTGGCGCTCGGAGCTTTAGGATCGCTGATCGGCGGAGCGGCCGGCGTGGCGAAGATGGTGAACGACGGTAAGGCCGCGCGTCGGCAATTGGAGGAGTTGCAGCGACACAATCGAGCGATGGAGGGCCGCGGTTTGTATCTCGCGCCTTACAAGCACGGCGGAAGCATCGCGAGACGAGGCGGACGAACGGTTAGGAAGAAGAAGAAAAAAAAAAGTCGCGCCTTCGCGCGCGTTAGACGACGTCGTAGCTCCGATCGGCGTCACGACGAACGAACAGTTGAACAGCGCGGCCAGGCGCGCTCGCGTGCGTCACTTCAGAGGTGTGTTCATGCGCGACGCGTTGCCGGTGCGAGTTCGTCACGACGAGAGTGGTATCGTGAACCTGGACGACGTCTCGGGGCCGGGCACGCATTGGGTGGCGTACGCTAAAAGGGGAAAAGACGCTATCTACTTCGACGCTTTCGGCAATCTTCGGCCGCCTCGAGAACTCGCGCGTTATCGCGGGCGCGACACGCGCGTCGCGTACAATCGCGACTCCCAGCAGACGTACGATCAGAGCGTCTGCGGACAATTGTGCCTGCGCTTCCTTCGACGAGTCGATTGGGGAGGAGGAAGGAGGAAGCCCTTCGGTCTCTAACGGCGATAGCGCGCGTCGTCATGTCGCTGATTCTCACGCTGACCGGAAGAAGCAACGTTCTCACGGCGAGTTACTTTCCGCCTCTCGATCTGAGCGACGACGATTACGAGCTCGGCCTGACCAATTTCGAGACCTACAACACGATTCCGAACGTGAATTCCTCGAACAATAAATTTTACTTCGACGACAACGACGAGACGATCGCGATCCCGATCGGATCCTACGAGCTGCGCGATATAAGCGCGTACCTGAGAGCCGCGATTCTTCGAAGACGGTGACGACCGACGAGCGCGAGTACCGGAAGGAGAGACGGCGGCGATGGCGCCAGCGACGGCGACGACGACGACGAGGAATATCTGTACGACGTCGAGGACGCGGAGGACGAGAGCGGCGATCGCGTTCTCGCGCTACGCAGTAACGACAATACCATGAGAAGCGAAATCAAATGCGCGTACCGAATTAATTTCACCAAACCGAATAATATCGGATCGTTGTTAGGTTTCTCCCAGTCTCGCGTATTGCGGCCGAACAAATGGTACGCGTCCGACGAGCCCGTGAGCATTATCGCGGTTAACACGATTCGCGTGGAGTGCAACCTGACGACGTTCGCGTACGTGAACGGGAGATCCGCCCACGCGATACACGAATTCGCGCCGAACGTCCCGCCGGGATACAAAGTGTCGGAGATCCCGAGGCAGATCATTTATCTGCCGGTCATCGCGCGACTCGTGACCGACGTATCGCTGCGCGTCGTCAGGACGGTCGATTGATCGATTTTCGCGGCGAGGAGATCTCGAT